TCACTACTGTCAAGATAATTAGCCGACCGCTAATTAAGCTATATCCTCCTTAAACCATTTTGTTGTTGTTGTTGTTAATTTAGTTTTTTTTTTTGTGTCATTCATTACATTATTTTGAGCACAAGAACATTTTTACTAAAACCTTTAAAAAAAAAGTTTAATTCATATATGTTATACTATACTATGTTATACACCAGTATACATATTTATGTTATCTTTTTAAATACTATGTTATACATATTTAAAGACAAGTTTTTTTTTGTTTCAACAAATGATTCTCAACTATGTTATAAAAGAAATACCAAAACGATTTGATATACCATTTTAAGTTTTAGATCTGTTTGATGATCATATTATTATGAATTGTAATAAATGCCTTTATGTTATATTTGGTGTTTCTTAGTAATCTCTGCCACAAAAGCTAAACAAAACAAAACGATTTAAGCATGGCATGATACCAGCAAGATTGTACCAAGAAGTGTTATTTATTTTCTTATTAATAAGTTCATCACACTATTTACAATTTGTACACAAGGCAATTCAAAGTGATTCACAGTTGTATAAAAAAACAATAATGCTTATGCTCATAATAATAATAATCATTAATTATTATAATATTATAATAATTAATTACATAAAAAACAAATGCTGTAGTAAAATACTTTCAGTTGGAATATGACAGCTATGTAACGTTCTGTTTATGCCTGTGTCCTTTCAGATTATGTATGCATACCCGGTTTTACGAAGAACTCTTGAGGGTCGACTCCTAATGGGGCCAACTGAGGAGGCCAATAGGAGGGAGATCGTGTTGGCAGGGAGGGCCAGGTGTAAGGAGGAGGTCCTGGCTGAGGCCACTGCCTTTGTGAGGCAGAATGGAGGGAATCCTGCAGACCAGTTCCTGGTTCTGGCTCACTGCAAGATCCAGTTTGGGAAACACCAGGGTCAGAGGTTTCTGTGGCTGCTGGAGAACTCACTGGGGTATGCCTGCTATCTGGTCAGCAGCATTTTGGGGGAGGAGGAGAGGGACAACCCGCTGTCGGCCAACAAACACCTGTTCCTCAGATACACCTCGCAGATCAGGGAGGTAGGCGAGGCTGTGGAGGTGTATCAGAAAAAACAGGCCATGCTGCAGGAGGCCCAGAGGACAGGAGACTCTGGATGTCTGATGGTGGAGTTTGGGGATTTTAAGGGTAGGTCAATGAAGGAGGTGTATGAGGACCCAAGCAAGGAGGCCCAGGCTCTCATCACCTACCTGAAGAAGGCAAAGGCCAGGCCTAACACCAATATGGCCCTTTTCAAAGCATACGTGCTGAAGAGGCAGGCTCCAGCCCACGTGCCCACCACCACTGTGCCCGCTGCATCTGCCCTCACTGCTGCTGTGCCCACTGCCACTGTGTCTGTTCCTCCTCGACCTACTGCCACTCAGAACAGGCCACTGCTGGCGACCAATGTGAAGGCCCTGTTGGCGCGGGGGAAGCATTTATCTGCTTCACAGCTGGCACAAAAGATTTTGTCTCCAGCCAAAACCTGTAAGTGATTTGCAAGCTTTAAAATCATTACAGTATATATTATGCAGTATATATGTCTAACGAAAATACGTGTTAAACAGCTGCAGGACCACGTGTACCTCCTGCGTCTGAGTCCGCAGCCCGGAGACAGCTCTTTACATGTGGTGAGTATCACTTAACGCATACAAGTGTGTTGGTGACATGTGCTTAGTGTTTTATGTTATTTTACAGACTCTGCTGCTACGGATTTTTTTGAGGAGGAAGATGACGTGGAGATGGCAACTGTAGCCTCGCAAGCTGAGGAACAACTTCCTCAAGGTATGTAAATCTTAAACAATATTTTACAAACAATTACAAATAAAACAAAACAGTATTTTTTAAATGACATATCATATTATTTTATTTCACAACACAGAGGAATGGCACTTCTCAGGTGTCAATCTACATTCACTCTTTGAGTGAACATCCTCAAAGGAAAAAAGAGAATTTAAAGGTGTATGTAAAAGGTTTGATTTCATTTTTTATCGTAATCACTGACTAAAGCTCATTCTTGTCATCTCACACTTCCCCCACTCCCCTTGGAATAAGTGGCTGTTGTAGTGTTTGGTCTGCTTCGCTTCACACTTGGCTGATCCCATCTTTTTTTCTTCTTGTATTTCTTCTAATGGTGCTTGGATGAAAAACAGGATGATTTTCACTGCTTCCTTCCATCTTTTCATCATCATGTCGTCTCTCTACTAATCATACATGCTTTGCAGTAAACCTTGTAATCGCAGTAGCTGTCCAGCAGAGCTGAGAAAGTCATGCAGTGAAAGTCTAAAACAATAAGATAATTTTGTTGTGTTTTTTTACGCTCCAGCCACTGCAGGCTCGAGAGGCCCTGCTCCTGCCCCGGCTCGTGCTACTGCCCCTGCTCCTGCCCCTTATCCTGCTCCTCCAGCATTGTGGACCCCTGGCCAGGTGTCCCAGTCGCCTGCAGAGCTTCCTGTTCACTGGAAAGAGCAACTCCCATCTTTCCAGCAGGACTGGATCAGGAAGACTCTGTTCAGGGCCAACATAAAAACAGGGAAGCCTGAGCTGACGCCACATCCCAACTTCTGGTGGTACCCTCCCCAGCCCCCGACCGTCTTCACCCAGCCCCCTACTTCTCCTGATATCTTCTTCTGCCGCCCTCTGTTCCTCTGGATGCCGCTGAAGATGTGGTCCATTCCACTTGTCTGTGTCCAGCCAGCCTGCAATAACCACAAGCTGACAGCTGCTGGCCTTTATCGCACTGTGCGCAAGGTCCTGGACATAGACGGGTGGTATGACATGGCCACAGAGTATCTGGAGTGCAAAGGGTGCAAGAAGAAGTATCCAGCCTGGTCTGAAGACATCCTGGGACAGCTCGACATGGGACACCGCAGAAAATTCCCCGCCATTCTGACATACAGGTAGAACACATTCATATTTAGAGCAATGCACTGTAATTTGTTGTACTGTATAAAATCAAATACGTTGATTTACTGATATTAACATTGAAATAATAAGATGTGGCACTGAACAGAATTATTTGACTGTCTGTAGGTACTCGTGTGACTACCGTGTAGTCATAATGATGCGGGAGAGGACCCGGGGCAACAGTGTCACACAGCTTCACAAAAAGCTGCAGGAGCAACACACATCAGCGTGGTCACAGCGGACGCTGGAGTACCTCACTGTCTGTGAGCCCTTCACAGACTCCTCCATCGTTGAGCCTCCACTCTTTTCTGCGCCCCCGCCCCTCCCACCCATCCCCAAACCCAAGTGGCTGTTGTCTGTGTATGCCAGGGACGTCCTCTCGCGGCTACCTGAGGTCAAGGCCAAAATAACCTCAGTCTTTGGCTCTGTCCTCAAGATGGACTCCACCAAAAAGGTATAAAAAGTCAAGTTTGAGTAATAATAATTGTTATTATCTTAAATTTTTCTGAAATTTGTTTATTCTACTGTTTTTTTTTTTTACATAGGTCACCAAAAAACTGGCCGGCGCTGCTGCCAACACTGCTGGTTGGTGCACTAATGTAGGCAATGAGCACGGCCAGGTGTTGGTGTCAGTCCTCACAGCGGCAGAGGGGCATGGATTGTGGCCCATGGCGGTGGGTCTCATGAAGAGGTACAGGGAGGCGGGAGTGGCACCACCCGCCGTCATGTATGTGGACAGAGACTGCTGCAGCCCACACGCACACAGACAGTCGCAGGTCAGAGCCATGTTCATAGAGTGGGATGAGCTCCAAGTGCGCCTAGATATTTGGCACTTCATGCGGCGCTTTGCAGCAGGTGTCATCACGGAGGCTCATCAGCTTTACGGCACCTTCATGGCTCGGCTTTCCAGGTGCATCTTTGAGCTGGATCCAGATGATGTCGCTGCTCTACGGTTGGCCAAACAGGGGGAGTTACAGGCCAGAGGAGCTGGTCCAGTCTCAGAGAAGGCTCTGGATAAGCTGATCACCAGGAAGGAGTTGGCACTGCACTGTCGCAAGCGGACCAGAGGAGTGGAGGAGACCACCTGGAGGATCAAGGCGCTCATTGATGAGATGGACAGTGAGAAGGGGAGGGACACTCTGGGTGTACCACTGCTGGACCACGAGCGAATCCAACAGGTCTGGATAGACCAGCAGAGGCACATCGCCTGTATTCAGGACCCAGAGGGCTTCCCTCTGTACCAGAAGACAGACACACTGAAGAAGGGTGGTGTGGAGCTCAGCTGCTATCGCTGTGCTCGTGGCTCCACCTCCTTGGAGTCTTTCCACCTCCATTTAAATCGCTTCATCCCAGGTAGGTTATAACTTTTATAACCTGCAAAAAACTTTAAACTTTTATAACCTATTCTGCCGTACTGAATACATAGATAACATATATTTGACTTTATTTGACCTGTAGGGACCAGTGCCAGTGATGCGCATTTCCAGGCCTATCTCCTGGAAGGCCTGATGCGCTGGAACCAGGACCGGATGGATGAAGCAGTGAGGGGAAAGACTGACCTGAGGACCTACAGTAGCGTTGAGAGGGAGGCAATGGACCGGCTCAGCCGCAAAGTGCTGAAGATGTCCCTGGATGATCGCTACCAGCCTCCAGGGGCTTACACAGGTGAGAATTATTCATGTTAACTCAAACAAAAGATTATACATTATACAGGTGTATGAGTGTAAATTTTTTATATTGTATTTTAAATAATTCAACTATTGTTGGAGTTATTTGTACTTTGTTTAATTTAGGCTTAATTTGACTGTTTGTACGACAGAAATAGCCTTATTTCTTTGTTTTCTTTTGCTAAAGTGAATTTGCTTTATTTTGCATTTATGCTTATTATCTTCTTGTTTATTATTTTAATTTTTTGATCTGTTAAACTGCGTCAAGCCTACAAACGATCAAAGTTTGAAAAGTTTGATTGTTTTTTTTGTTTCAGTTTGTTATGGACAAATAGCCACTATAGCTATAATAATGTGAATGTGCTTTGTATGTGTGTTCTTTTGCAGGGGAGCTGCTGGGTATGGAGTATCTGTACAGTCAGTCTGGGAAATCCCTGACTGTTATGGATAACCCAGAAGAGGAGGATCGGCTGGTGGAGCAGATGACTGATGAGGTGGTGCAGGACGAAGGCTTTGTTGAGGAGGAACCTGAGGACCTCACAGTGCCAGTCCTCTATGACCCCATTGAGCCTGTCCCAGTCCACAGCAGCGGCCCCCAGGCCTTCAACCCCTGTCCCTCTGCACCAGGACCATCCTCACTACAGCCACCCACAGGACTGCAGCGCCCTGCCCAGCCTCCTCTGCAGTCTCCTCCTCTGCACCCTGCTCAGCCTCCTCTGCAGTCTCCTCCTCTGCGCCCTGCTCAGCCTCCTCTGCAGTCTCCTCCACAGCCTTCTGTCCAGCCAAGTGCTGCCTCTGCTCCTGCAACATCAACTGGGTCCAGTGTTGCAGACCAGGCTCCTGTAAGTAAGCTTCTCATTATTAGTTTCTATTTGCTTTTACACTCTGACATTTAACATGCTGTGTATTGTTATTGTAATACTTTCCTGCAGGCTCCTGTTCTTGGACCCGATGGCGTTGCAGGCTGGGATAAGGTGCAGGATCTGGCTGAGTACCTGGTGTCCCTCCGTCAGGCACTCTACCTGGACGAGCAGCAGGTCACAGAGGTCATCCGTCTGTGGACTACTCTTCCTGATGGGGACAAGAGGAAGATCCACTATCAGCCCAGACACCAGCCCAAACTGACCCACGGACGCTTCAAGGCTCCAAAAAACACAGGAGTGACACCGGGTGTGGACAGTGTGAAGAGGTGCCTGATTGGTCATCCTGGGGGGCCAGCTCAGTGGCCCAGCACCAGTCGCTTAGTTGAGGCCATGTGTATCAAACTGTGTGCACTTCACAAGTCCCCAACTAAGAAGGATGGAGTCCGTCTTCCTCGTTGGACTAAGGTGCTCACGGATTACCACCACATCCGAGACCTGGTGCTGAACTGCCAAACTCTGATGGAGGCCACGTCACTTCAGCTGTTTATGCTGAATCAGAGGACTCTCACTCAGTGGTAAGCATGGTTTTACATTGACATTTGAAAGAAAGGGATAGCAGTTATTTATTATGAATACATTTTTTGATTGCAGGTTTAATCGAAGGGAGAACACCCAGGAAGTGACTGTCCTTACCCAGGGCCTTGCTGCAGAAGACCGCATCGCTGTGGCCAGCTCACAGCTTCCTGCTCCGCGGGAAAAGCTGGATGAGGCTCCCTCCACATCAGGGGCCCGGCACGAGTTTGTCCTTCCTCCTAACAGAGCGGGACAGGCTCCTAAGCTACGGCCGGGCAGACGACCTGCCAGTGCTGCAATTGTGAGGCCAATTACCCCAGCAGCTCCTACTCCTCCCCCAGTTCCTGTGCCACTACCCCAGTTCATTTTATTGAACACTGCGCCCACGCTGCTGGCAGCTGGTGCAGGTGGCGCTTCAGCTGCTCCTCTCCTGGCTCCAACTCCAGTGTTTCCTGACGTGCGAGAGGCTCCTGCTCCCACTGCCCCGGTGTCTGTGTCCCGCTTCACTCAGAGGAACAGACGACGCAGGGCAGAAGAGGAGGCCAGTGGAGCCCACAAAAGGAAATATGTCCGTGAAGTGGCATATAACAAATGCTCTAAGTGTGGCAAGCCCAAAACCAAGGAGTTCGGCCACAGCCGCTTCGGCAGTGCCACGTTTTGCCCCAGTGTCTCTGGTGGCAAATCTTTAGAGGAGTGGCTGGTAGAACAGCGCCAGCAGAAAAAACCTGGACAGCCACCTCCATAATAAAAAATCTTTCAACACAGAAAAAAGATTGTTTGTAAATACCTGTAAATAAATATCTATGTGTAATTACAGTTATGTTCTTTTTTCTCTCTCAATCTTTCTGTAATGTCTTGTTTGTTTTATTTATATTACAGAATGTTCTATTCTATTTCTACATTGTTAGTTGTTTATTTTTGTTCATTAATGTCTTGTAGTTTTAGTAAATAAATACTGTTCACACTATTATTCATTGTGCTGCTTTTAATTGCCTTGGGACTGGAATGTGCAAACTGTACATGGGCCCACCCACTCTTTCATAGAGTATACATTGTAAATAACACATATATTGTGTGTATGTCCATATATTTATGCGTGTGTGTGTACTTATTTCAATATTTGTGTGTATTCATTTTAATAAAAAAAATTACATTTCGATATTTGTGTGCATTTGTGTGTATAAAACATTTGAAGTGTCCTAAAATAAATCAGATAAATCACATCAATCAATCCCACACACAAAAAAAACACATATTTGAATAAACATTTGTATTAGTTTTATTAAACCATAAACATGTAATATGTTTTTTTTTTTTAAATAATATACACAATTAATATCAATCAATATAATGATATGTCACATTGATAACCAAATGAAGGCGCATGCGCAGTTGATCACACACTAGTCGTGCAGAACAGGGGTTCGAGCCCAGCCCGCGGAGTGTGACTTGTTTCACATGTAACTAAAACTCTTCCATAACGTACAGGAATATAGCCCGAATATTGTTGCAGGGCAAATTTGTGCGTTTTTTCGCGTTTTCTGCGTCCTTTTCGCTTGCGTGCGGGGCGCAAAGATTGGACCCCTGCTTTTGCGCAGCGAGCGCTCTACCATCTGAGCTAATCCCCCTCCGTAACACATGGTTTCGGCGCTGCAAAAAAAAAAAAAAAAAAAAAAAAACACACAAACACACACCATAACATATTTCACACACATTGTTTTCAAAATCTATGATCAGTGTTTTATACATTTTAGAAAAAATAATATTCGTGATTAGTAAAAAAATTACTGGGCAAACCAAACCAACAGATAGTACGTTCTGAATAAAGGTATCTTAATAAATACATTTTATTAATTTCACTTCCTGTAAGGGTCAGCCAGTCAAAATAAAAGCAATTTTTTATTTTCGAAGGCGCCTCTCATGTGAATCCACTCGTTAAGTCTTCATATTAATATGTTTTGGTTAACAATACATTTGTTTTTCTTCGCGCTCTTTATAATGCCTCGGCATACGCAAACCATAATGCAATTAAATGATCCAAAGTAACGTATTTGCTTGCACTGGTGTTGATTCCAAAATAATTATTTATTTTTGAATTCACAGCACATTGGACTAATTATATTATTCAGTACCATACGAACAAGAGGCGTTACATAGTTAGTCACAATAACATTAATTGGCAGAAAAAAAGTCACATCAATTTAAGTGCTTTTAAAATATGCATGTTTTCCGTGCTTTTTTGTTTTTAGTTTGTTCCAAAAAGTGTATGTATAATTTATAAAAAATGTAAGAACAGTGGTTTGGAAAGTGTCCACTTGTTTTTATGTATATGGTATTTTCTAAATAAAATAAATAAATGCATAATGGATTGTTCTTTCCATCCCAAAATCAAAATGTCATTCCATGAGCACAAGGAAGTAACCTTTTTTATTTATTTATATTTTATAAAGAAACTTTCACAACTGAATTTACTGAGCAGGAAAAGAAAATAATACAAAATTGCCAATTATTATTATTATATTTAGTTATTGTAAACTGCACGTCATTCAATGACATTTAAATATCTTCAAGTATTAAGAAAATATGGACTTGCCAGCGCAAAATCCTGGTAAAAATAACAGACTTTTATAAATTCAGCAATGCACATGTGACTTAACCACATTGAGGTTATGCAGACCTTATTGCAAAATGATTGTTGGAAAATTCACACCGGATATGCACATTTACATTTGATAGCCAGACACTTGTCATGCCAAAGGAGCAATAGAAAACAGTCCAGTCATGACAAAATGGCGAGCGGAGTTGGAAGTAAGTATTGCTCTCTATATTTTCATCATACACATGCATGTACGACGTATGTCCTGCATGGGGCGGAGGGCAGATTATAATTGATGCATGTCAAGCGCTTGCATAATGGATGCAGCGGTGCGAGTGCCGCCGTGTTGCGGGATTTGCGCACAGAAGCCATTGATTAAGGCGAATGACGCTCATTGGTCGAATCACTGGACACTTTACTAAAATGACACATTTATGACAACATCATACTAGCTTTCATGAGTACATCACATTTACCATCTGTTAGAGGAATTTGAGACGCCGATGATGCTTCGACCATCTAAAATGGCACCGTTATTAGTTGTCAAACTGCTGACCCATTCATCATCTGGCAGCGTAGCACATACTCATATGCTTAAATGCTGTTTACACCTGAAATGCATTTTTCTCTTTATTATCTGCCATTTCATTCTTTGGACAGAACATAAATTGATGTTGGGCCCAACAGAGCCATGGTCAATTAGGGAAAAGCTGTGCCTTGCCTCCTCTGTCATGAAGAGTGGAGACCAAAACTGGTGATTTTATTTTTATATTTACATTATAGCTTTAATTCAGATGTCCCAAACTTTTTTGACTCCAAGGTCCCCCATTGACCACAAAAATATTCAAAGGCCCCATGACTTTTCTAGTTGTTTGTGATTTGACGTTACTTGATAAGGATTAAGGATAAGAATAAAAAAATGACTCACAATTTCTTAAAGCTTTGCATTACTAGAAGAATGTAAATTCATTATAAATAAATATTTGTAAAAAATAGTATATATATATATATATATATATATATATATATATATATATATATAAATTAGGCTACCTCATATATCCATGTTAAATTAAGAAATCTCTTAATTTTATTTTGTTGTTTTGGCTTATTTTAATGGCTGTTTTGTTCATTAATTTAAAATAAGTAATTTAAAATTGTAAGAAATTTAGTTTGCAAAGCATTTTCTATAATGGATTCTATAATTGTTCTTTAAAGAAACATGTTCAGTTACCTAAACTTCACCTTATTCTTTCTTAGTTAGTTCATTATAAATTAATAAAAAAACAATTTAACATGCAACATCATAGTCGTGTTTTTGTACAATGGTTGTTCTAGGGTGTCTGTGAGCCGAGCCATTAAGCCATTTGCAGAACCTGGACGCCCTCCTGATTGGTTCTCTCAGAAGGTATTGGGGAAGCATGCAGTAAAACAATCCAATGACATGAAAACTTAAGGAAAAGCTCACCCAAAAATTTAAATTCTGTTGTTTCGTTCTAAACCTGTATGACAATTTTTCTTGGTTGGAACAGAAAATTAGTTTTGAAGTAAGTTTTGAAGAATGCTGCTCTCGCATACAACACAAGTTGATGGCAAATGGGGCTTTCAAGCCCCAAAATGGACAAAAAAGCAGCATAAAAGCATCACAAAAATATGCCATATGATTCATGCATTGTTTTCCAAGTCTTCCAATGCTTTGTATTTTTAAAGTAAACTATTCCTTTAAAGTTCAATTAATAAGACACTTATAACACACAACACACTCTCTCTCTACTTTTCCTCACTGATTCACAGCATTGTGCATCACAATACTCTGAGCTCCTGGAGAGAACTGAGGTGCCAAAGTGAGTCCACTTCCTGTTCATTTGCGTTCCAACACTCACTCCATTCCTGACAGCAGTTGATGGTGAGTGTATGTGTGTATGTTCACAGAAGAAAGCGAGGTGAGAAAGGGGAGGTGGTTGAGACGGTGGAGGATGTGATCGTTCGCAGGTTGACGGCGGAGAGGATAGAGGAGTTGAAGCGATTGATAAAGGACACACAAGAGAAGCACAGGTACCAAATGTCCACATGTTTACCCGGACCATTTCCTACTGTCGACTGACTGTAACTCTATTACTGTCCCTTTAGGAAACTGAAGAGAGAAACTGAACTCATCCAGGCAGGTCATCTGGACTCCAAACTTGAGGAGCTATGGGAGGAAATTACACGGTAAGAATCATTATACCAGCTGTTATAAATATACCACATTTAAAGGAATAGGTCACCGCAAAATTTTCATTTATGTTATGTGTTATCTGTTATTTTATTTTATTATCTCATTTTTTAAAGAATCCTAACATGGATCTTTTTTATACAACAACAGTTCATAGTTACCATCATTATGTTCACACAAAGCTATCATAACATGTCATCATAACAAGGCATGTGATTGATATAGGGGAGTTATTTTAGTAGTATTTATCTACTTTTATAGTATTTATTAATCTTTTGAATAGGCTTTTATTTAGCCTGTTTTCAATTTTAATTTTAGTTTAAGTTTTAATAATTTTGTTATGTGCTTTTGTCATTTCAATAAGTTTTTGTATTGTATATACATATATATATATATCATTTATTTAGTGCTATTAAAACATTCTATTTAGCTTTAATTTATTTTAATTTAGTTTTAGTAATTGTTGTATTTTAACTTAAACATTTATTTCATTTAGTTGCCAATGCAACATTTCTAATTTCCATTCAGGTTTTTTCCAATGTTTTCACTGACCAAATGAATTGTATTCTGTAAAGATAGACACATTTTGATTTGGATGGCTGCAACACACTCCAAAAAAGCTGAGACGAGCAAAATAAAAGTTAAAAGATTATAGAATATCCAAGTTAAAATGTTTAGAAACAGCCCACAATAAGCAGGTGAATTGGCAATAGGTGAGGTGAACACTGAGTTCTCTTGGCCCGAGCTCATCTCAGATGGTCTAAAAGACGGTGGAAATGTGAGCTGTGGTCTGATGAGTCCGTGTTTCAGCTTGCTTTTGGGGAAAACAGACATTGGGTTCTCAGTCCCAAGGACAAAAGGGACCATCCAGACTTTCATCAGCAACAGGTGCAAAAGCAAACATCTGTCATGGTATAGAGGTGCATCAGTGCAAACGGCAGGGGTGACTCTCATGTGTGTGAAGGTATCATTGACATGGAGGCGTATATTCAGATTGAACAGAGACATGTAATAGTATCAAGATCACATCTTTCCTGGGAAGCAAGACAATTCCAGGCCTCA